AAAACAAGGGATAAATAGGGAAACATTGTTCTGGGCACAATTGTAACTATTGTTTTAATTTCAACATTCATGTTTTCTCTGTTGTAGTTTGTGTATTTTCTGTTTGGAGAGGCTGCTCCTCGCGCCTCTAAAGGGATCTTCTTGTATCTATTCATTATTTTAATGGAATTGATGTTATTTATCAAAAAAAAAAAAGAAGTTAACATGGGCCTGCTGGGCATGTGGCTGTGGAGGTTTGAGATAGAAATAGGGTGTTGGTAGAGGAGGTTGATGGCTTATATTTGGGGTGTCTAAAGGAGATTGGATTTCAAAAGACTCGCTTCCTTCCTATGACTGCTCTTTTTGGAAGGGGATTGTGTGGTACCACAATTCCTTCTCTAAAGGAGTGCCTTTCAGACTTGGAGATGGTAGTAGGGCGTGTTTCTGGCTGAACAAATGGTGCAATGACAGACCCCTTGCTGAGTTGTTCCCCCACCTGTTTCAGATTGCCAAGAGTAAAGATGCAGCTGTGATTGATTGGTGTCATATTCTTAGTGGTTCTTGGGTCTGGTCTCCAGGCTTTGGCAGGAACTTTCAGGACTTGGAGTCGCTAGGAGTGTTAGAGCTGATGAAACTGTTGAGGTCTCAAAATGTCAGCCCCAGCCCCAGGCAAGTTGATGAGTGGCAATGGATGTGGAAGAAAATTGGTGTGTTATCTGTCATATCTTTTGTGAAGAGCCTCTGAGATCCTGCACTGTCTGATTTTCCCTACAATGTGATTTGGAAGGCCCGGATTCCATTGAAAGTGGGTTTCTAATGTGGCTGCCTTCTCTGGAAAGATGTCTCACCAAGGAAAATTTGGCAAGAAAGAGACTTGCAGATCCAAGACTGCTCTTGAGGGCTTTGTGGTCAGGTGCAAAAATGTGTGGAACTGTGGGTCACCTATTTTTACAGTGTGACGTGGCTCAGTCACTTTGGTGGCACTTCATTAAAGCTGCTGATCTGGTTTGGGTGATGCCTAGGACCCTTGAGGAGGTGCAGCTTGCTTGGTTTTAGTAGGAAAGGTAAGCAGATCTGGGAGTTGGTGCCAGATGCTATTGTTTGGACCTTGTGGTCAGAGAGGAACAGGACAATTTTCTGTAATCAGAGTAAGGCAGTGAATGAGATAGTTAGGCAATATGTGGGAAGGTTGGTTCATGGTTGAATGAAACGAGCATCAAGTATGCACATCCCAAACAAAATTTCCTATTTTATATGGAGTGACCATCAATAATAAGGGCATTAAGTGGCCCACTGTCACTTAATTTCTAAACCTTAGTGGCACAATAGTCCTCTTTGAGTCTTTGTCAGCATCTAAAGCATCTGGTAATGCACACTATCTGAAAGAGAGACGTAGATTTTTGTTTCTTTCCAAACCAACCAATAAGTCATACATTACTTCATACATTTGCAAAAGGCCCAGTTCTCACAGCTAATTTAAATGACAGGTAAAGATTCCATGGTTTATGACATTACAATACAAACGAACCATATAGCTAAGAATTTTCTAGAAATAAATTAATGAATTAAAACTAACATAGTTGGGGCTTGAAAGCAGAATAAATCCACTCACGAGGTTTAAATGTCCATAAGGAAGTTCTTAAATGTAACGTTTTTCTCTTAGTAGCTTAATATATAAAGTTCATGAAGAGGGACTACATTAGAGGTTCCATATTCGAAGTTTTAAACTAAAAGAGTTACCTGAACCATCTACTGGTTATGAACTTTATGATTGGTTCTGCTTGCAATATCTATTGCAACAGAAAATCAACAAACGGCAATGCGGAACGCATTCAACATTACAAAAAGCTTCATGTCACGCCATTATACATTGAAAACAATTCGGAGATAACTCGAACAGAATATTGAAAACATAGCAGGATAAAAATAAATAGAACTGAAGATTGAAGAATTCCCAATTGGGGTTGCGATTCTGAAATAAAAAGCTTCTTTTCTCCTTTGAATCGCAACTCAGGTTGGCTAAAATAAACAGAAGTCTTCAATAATTATTACGCATTTAAAGTCAAGGATTAGGGTTTTGAAACGCAAAACTATTAAAAAAAAGCTTGGAAAATATCAAATAAACCGACAAGTCGGGAAAAACACGACAGAAGGAATGAGAAACGAGGATTTAAGCTCACGAAAACGAAGAACGCAATCAAAATGGAAGCTAAATTAGAAATTTTGAAGAATTTAGAAAATAAAAAGTGATAGAGCAAAGATCTGACCTTAGGCCGAAGAAAACCTCCACTATAGATCGCCTCGCCAAAAACCCTAACCGGGAGAACAGAGTGGGAGAAAAGTAGGGCTCTCCTACTAGATTCCATAAATTCGAGATCCCACACCATTTAACACTCCGATTTTACCAAAATACCCTAACGACTCTTGTAGATTAACCAAATGACCGTCCTTGATTTTGTTTTTCTTTCGACGAAATGTTTTCTGGTTTGTCATCCCGCGTCAGAAGCCGACACGTGGTAATGCCTTTTTGGGCACGTGAAGAATGACATGATCTATCTAAGCCGTCCATTTCATAGGTATCCTTCAAGATTTTCATCTTCAACATTCTGGAGTATGATTCCATTTATATACCTGCTACTGGTGCGGTCCACTGTAGTACTGTGTGGCGTCGTGTGCGGGACCTTATTGAACGGATATGATGCCGGAAAGACATCATACCGGAAAAAACTGATAACCAATCACAGTGTTGATCAATCAATCGGCATCATAGATTTTCCTTGTTTTCTAACAACTACTAAGTATGCATATGATTTTCATATGGCAATTTTTTATGGTGATGAAAATAAATAATATATTTGTAAACTTTTGTACAATTTTTTTATAATTTTATGTCTATAAATATTATTTATATTTGTCATATTTATTTTTTAATATGATGAATATATGACATGAGAGAGGTGTTTAAATGTTTTTTTACAAATTTGGTTGTAATTTTTATATTTTATTTGTTTTTTAAATTTTTATTATTATTTATTAATGGTATCAAGGATTGACACATTTAATCCAAAGTGTTAAATTGTTGAATTGCCATGAAAGAATAAAATAAATACATTTTTGGGTTGGTTTTAAATTTGTATTTTGTTTCTATCATTAATAAAAGTATTTATTCTTTGCCACACTTATTTTTCTTTAATATAGTTAATTAATATAGGATTTATTGAAAGAATGAGTTAATACACTGAATTTAAAACTTAATGAGAGGTAATTGGATGAAGATAAATGTAGTAGCTCAAATTAGATTATGTGCCCTTACAATTAGAGAGGGACGGTCCAGCACAACCTATATAATATATATATAKAGAGAGAGAGATTTATATATAATTTATAATATATTATATATTATATAAATTAAAATTATATAATAATATATAGTATATAATATATTAATAAAATTAACAATTGTTTTCAATTTCATTATTGATGGTGCACGATCCGGCCGATCTTAGCTATCAACGATCTTGCCTCTGAATCGGGTGGTCAGGGACCTGAAACGGAGGGAAAGGAGAAGCTCCGGGGAGAACCCGGCGTAAGGGCTCCGAAGCTCAAGTTAGAGTTTCTCAAAGGCAAGATAGACCAGATAGCGCAAAAGTTAGCATAC